AAATTAGTTTTGTTTATAAGGACTATAATTTGTGATGCATGATTGACCTATGATGTGTCTGAAACTGTGTATAGGAAGCATGCTAAGATGGGTTCTGCAGTAGCTCAAGATCAACCTGTGTGTCCATCTATCATTGTATTGATCACTCCTCCTTTCTTTTTTGTTACTGAGAACTAGAGAATACAGAGGAAGTTGGTGAAATAACAGATAAAGCCCTAGTATGTAAATAGATAGAATTTCTCCTGAAATGACTGATACAGATTTTAAAAAGGAGCCTTACTATTGTTTGAGATTTGACATACCGTAAATTAACCTTGTTTTTATATATCAGTGGGGTTCTAGTTATCTGGCGGTTTAAGAGAAACCATTAACATTATAGCTTTTATTAATTTTCCTAATTAACACAGTGTTGACTTACTGAAATGTAAACTTTATATTCTTTGTTATATTTTAAGGGCTTAGGTTTGTTAGAATGAAGTTACATGTACTGGTTGTATGGGTAACTGCCTTAGTTAATTAAGACATGGTGCCAGTAAGGCCAGAGTCACCGTGACTGTGTTATTTGATTACTATTTTTAACTATTATTTTAACCAAAGTAATTTTGTCCAACTTATCCACACTTATTGCTTGGAAGGGATCTTCTTAGCAAATATGTTTAGTATACAGAGGAGATAGAGAACTGTGATCTCTGAAGGAGGGGACAGGCAGCATATTTTTTGGGTCTCACTGACGCTTAATCATCTATACATGATCTGACACAGATTTAGGACTTTCAGAGGATGTTTAATGATCAGAAAAGTCTGTGCACTTGTGCCCTTGCCACCTCAGGACTTGAATTCTTAACTAGCTCATGTGTGCCTTTGGCTTGGTACGTAATTGATAGTGGTAGGCATGTCTGCTGAGGTCTTGCTACAGGAGTGGATCCCATCCTCTAGAATATCTCCTGTTTTTCCTGAAATTGCTCAAAAGCTCCGCTCCTTTCTCTGTTCAGGTCACTCAACTTGGTCTCCTCTCTGGATTTTTCTAGACATAGGACTGGTCCCCATTCCATACCATTAGAATCTCTGAGCCAGTTCTTGACAGCTTGGCTCTACTGTGCTCACTCACTCATGTCTATTTGCAACACTGTGGACTGTACCCCGCCAGGCTCCTCTCTTGGTGGGGTTTTCCAGGCAAGAGTACTGGAGCAGGTTGCCATTTCCTACTCGATGGGATCTTCCTAACCCAAGGATGGAACCGAAGTCCCAGGCGTCTCCTGCATTGGCAGGTGGATTCTTCACCACTAGTGCCACCTGGGAAGCTCTGATTGAAAACTGAGTGTAGGAAATGATATGACACAATCAGTGTTCCACAAATCAGTATTCCGGAAACTAGACCTAAAGAAGACATACAGTAGGTGCCAAATGGGGATAGAAGTGTTGTGGTTGCTTGGAGTGTATATACTTGAAATGATTTGAAAAACTTTATGAGAGAGATGAGATTTGAACTGAGCTTTAAAGGATGGGTGGGACTTGCCAGAATTGAGTGTTACATCTGTTGTGCCTGTTTTTCTCAGGTGATGTCTTCATGTGTATATTGTGGAGGGTGGTAGTACATGAGTGGGTCTGAGGTGTGTGCTGTGTTTGTGTGTTGGGAAAGAGCTGAGAGTTTGTACTGTTACAGAAGAGTTTCAGAAAGAGGGCCTTGTTATTAGGATTATTTTGGTAATGGTGAGCTGGATGGATTTAGAAAGGGAAGGCGCTTAGGAGGCTATTAGAGTAGTTCTGACCTGAACTGAAAAAGGGTTGATGGCCTCTGAAATAGAAAGAAAACTGATTGTACAGAAACCACTAGAAAGAATCTATGGGGTTGAAGGCAGAATTGAAGATGAGTCTGCTGTGCTGGGTCCAGTAGTATCAGTGGCATCCTTAATGGAAACTGGAGAGAGAAGTCAGATTAGGGTTTGTTGCAGGTGGACGATAAGAGGTTTAATGTGGAATGCAGCAAGCTGTTGGAGTCCTGAAATGAGGTGAGATTTGTGGACAGAGAGTCCGCTGTATCGTGAAGCTTTAGGATCTTGCTCAAGACCAGTTTTTTTCTGTTGACTGTTATGAGGAAGACAGTGATGTAGAAAGATGCTGAGGAGAAAAGAGGAAATGGCTCTGTGGAATTTGGAGCTCAGGAGTTAAGGATAGTACTTTTTAAAAATATAAATATTGCCATTCAGAATTACCTTGTGCTAATATTTTAATAGAACCTGAAAATTCATCATGCTTGGAGTATCCTTCTAGTTTTAGCTTTCATCGTTATTCCCCTAAAATGCTTTCTGAGCATTTGTAAATCTCCACAGGTTAATGTTAATTAATATTTACATTAAAAATTAATACTTGCATTACTGAATATAGGCTCACTAATAAAGCTAATATAAAACTTATATCTTGGACCTTCCTTTGGATAACTGCTTGTCATTTGACACTAACTGGCAGTTAAGTTTCCGTCAGCTTGTTTCTCAAGGATTCGTGTTTGGTGAGGACCATTTCACTTCTCTAGTTCTTCAGAGGGTTTTAGTAGGTGGTTGGGGGAATTTGTAGTGTATTTACAATTTTGAGTAATTGACCTTAAAATATGTATGTTTCTTCTGTAGTGTTTAGTAATGCTTCACAAGTATGGTCTAATTCGCTGCTAAGCATGACAGTATGAAAAATGTTTAGTTAGGAGCCCCTCCCTTTTGCTAGCCACTGACTCATGCATCATACTATTCACAGTTTTATTAGTGTTTGAACTTGGAAGTATATCAAAAGCAGTTGTGAATTTGATACTCGAAAATGGTTAATATACTTGGAGACATTATTCAGTCTGCAGTTAGGGTTTGATGTATAGATTCGAGGACTCTTTGGTCCACAAGATGGGAACTGCTGGTATTGCATTTCAATCAAGGAATATTTAAGAGTATTAGTTGTGGCTCATGCCCCTTGAAGGGGCACTTATTATATAGATTTTATTGTTACTTTGTGTACCAGTTAGCTGAAGTATGACTCACTGGATAGAATTTGGAAAGCTGTGTTTTATGCAAAAATAGGCTTGTACATTAAATTTACTTGGGTATTTGAATATATGATTACTTGAAAGATATTTAATAATGGTTTTATTTCAGTGTGCAGTATTAAATCTTAGAGCTCGTTGCTGTTAAAAATAATTTCATGTTCTTTTTGGGATGTTTTGACTTTGGTAGAACAAGTGTACTCAGTATTAATTTCGTCTCAGTAATGCAAAATCACGTAGTTGAACTGATGTTATTTTTACTCTTCCATTCCATTTACTGTTACCACAGGAACAAATGATGCTCTCAGATAATTCTCTCCAGGATTTTAACTTTATAAAAAAGTTTTGTAGTATTAAATTCACAACTGCTTTTAATTATATACTTCCAAGTTCAAACACTAATAAAACTATGAGTATTATGATGCTTGGGTCAGTGGTTAGCGAAAAGGAGGGGCTCATAAGTAAACATTTTTTATACTCTCATGTTTAATAGTGAACTAAACCGTACTTGTGAAGCATTACTAAACACTACAGAAGAAATATATCTGTTTTGAGGTCAGTTATTCGAAATTGTAAATACACTACAAATTCCCCTGTAGTTAAAACTGAATTTTAACTTTCAGTTATGAAAAAACTATCTTACAACGTCTCAGAGTGTATACTATATGTATCATTGTCTAATATAATGCACTTACCTCAGAATTCTTAAGCTTGGTTTTGATATTGCTTAGTTAACGTGAATTTTGGGGACGGGTGGGCTATGTACCCGGCTTCCTTGACGGCTCACACAGTAAAGAATCTGCCTGCAGTTCAGGAGACCTGGGTTCAATCTCGGGGTTGAGAAGATCCCCTGTAGGAGGGCATGGCAACCCACTCCAGTATTCTTGCCTGGAGAATCCCATGGACAGAGGAGCCTGGGGGGCTACAGTCTATGAGGTCACCAAGAGTTGGACACGACTGAATGACTAAGCACATAGCGCACACAGGCTGTTCACCAGGCTTACGTGACAATTTTTTATTTTTTAATGGCAGGGTCTTTTGTTTGTATTTTGTGAGACATGGACATTTAAGTTATGCTGGAACAGTGTTAATTCCATGAAGATTAGCTAAGGTAACGTAAGGCCATAAACTGTTTAGTTGAGACTATATCAAAGTAATACTTAACAAAGCAGGCGTGAATTTTTGAAGTGAATGTTTTAAATGAAATATTGAGATTATGTATCCTTGGATATGTACATTATGCCATTTGTTCTTGTCATGTTAAGTTTCTGTTTGCTCATTTTAGTTTCCAGTAACATGAGCAAGTAATTTATTTGTATTTCATTCCTGAGAAACCAAAGGAAGAAACTGCCTAATGAATATGAAAGTTGCCATTAAATCTCGATTGTCCATTTTATAGATGCTTTTATGATTTTAGCCTTTGCCCTTCAACGCATTTTTGGATTGCTGTCAGATTGTGTATAATCAATAGGTGCAAACTAAATTTAAAAATCTAAGTGCTGCTGCTAAGTCTCTTTAGTCGTGTCTGACTCTGTGCGACCCCACAGACGGCAACCCACCAGGCTCCGCCGTCCCTGGGATTCTCCAGGCAAGAACACTGGAGTGGGTTGCCATTGCCTTCTCAGAAAAATCTAAGTAGATAAATATAAATTACCTGGGTTTGAGAAAAACAAAGTTGCTGAACGAGAAAAGGATTTAAAAGTTAAATATAAGCTCTCTCTCTCTATATATATATATATATTTGCTTTGTTCTGTTAACTTGGTTTATACCATCTTTCCCTCTTCAATAATAATAAGTAATACAGGTAGGAAATGACTTCTTAGTACTGCCAACTTAAATTGTAAGTCACTCAGTTATGTCCGACTCTTTGCGACCCCATGGGCCCCAGTGCATGGAATTCTCCAGGCCAGAATACTGGAGTGGGTAGCCTTTCCTTTCTCCAGGGGATCTTCCCGGCCCAGGAATCAAACCAGGGTCTCCTGCGTTGCAGGCAGATTCTTTACCAACTGAGCTATGAGGGAAGCCCTACTACCAACTTAAGATGAATGATAATAGTGCATACACACATATGTTTAAGGTTTTAGGGGAAAAATATCTTTCCTGTACCTAATTTGACTGACCAACGCAATCAGCTGACCTTTGGCTGTATTAAAATTGTAAAGATCGGAGTCCATTATTAAAATAAATGAGTAGGATTAGAATAGAGAATTTATAAAAATAAAGCCTTTTTAAAACAATAAATGCTTTTGGATAAAGTAGCAGGCTTCAAGTGAAATTCAGTTTTGGTCTCCTTTACAGGAATAGGTATTCACAATTCTGCAGAACCACCTACCACATTTTGCAGTATCTCCTGAGGAAGTCAGAATCTGAGCCATCATGACGACTGAGTCTTGTCTTTGTTTTGATTTGTAAACTGTGCTTTCATTTTGATCATGTACAAGGTGGAGGTTATAGCATGGAAACTAAAATCTTAGTAAGTGTGATTTTTATTTTAGCTATTAAATAATAGGCTCTTTTATAGTGAAATTGTTCTCTTAACAAAGTTTACGCTATTTAAAGGAGTGAGGACTTGGCAAGCAGGGACGTAATAATACACTTGTAAAGTGAAAGATTTTGCTTTCCAGGTTCAAAAGGAAAAATCCTTGAGAAAGAGAAGGAAAAGCTTCTGTTACTTTTCCTAGATTTCTTTCATTTTTCTGGTTTCACATAGGTAGCAGGATGATACAAATTTAGTTGAGAAAGGGATTTAAGAAAAGGGAAAGGCTGGCTTTCGTGGCCAATGTCTAAATTCAAGCCATTAAAAAAATCATTACATTGGCTGTGCAAGTTGCTTCATTTAAAAATTGGTTGTCATTAAATAATAAAAAAGTCTTCATAGTATTGTAGTGTTAGTAAGTCCAGTGTAGACTCCTAGGAGTCTTTTAAATAGTTAATGTAATTGAGTGCATTTTAAATATTGAATATTTTGAGTATAAATATTCAAAATTCTATTGGAATGATTATGCTAGTGGTTATCTCAGGGATGCTTTGTCGATTGGTTGTCTCGAGAGTAGGTAATGTGCAGTTTTTCTTTTTTGCACTCTAGACAGAGCAAGATTTTGAGGATAATAGGTATCAAGGAACATTATTTTGTTTCACATAGTTATTTTGTTAATTGTAAGCATTACTCCTCAACAGCTTTTCTACCTGTGCTTATTAAGAGCAGTGGGTAATTAGCATATTTAGGCTGCTTTTCTCCCTTAGGAAGAACAATAGAGTTGAATGTTTGATCTTCTGAATTCTTTAGTGAATCAAACATTGTGGTCCTATGCCTCAGTAGCATAATAGTCTGTTGCTCATAATTTGAGAATGTTATGTGTTTAAGATACATGGTTTGTGTTCTATCCCTTACCTTTGAATCTTCTAACTACTGGTTATTTTTCTAAATTGATGGTGATGACCTGGCTGAGATGAAACGTTTCTGTGAGAGGCTTCCTGCTTTAACCTCCTTCCCTCTTAGAACAAACTTCCCTTTGCCTGTCTCTCTTGCATTCCAAAGTACATTTCCATTAAATCCCCAGGTCTAAGATTTTTCTTTAGGAACTATCTCCAATGTCTCTCTGGAAGTTAAAAAAAAAAAAAAAATTTCAGTATGCAGTGTTACATGCATATCTTGAGAAATTGATGTTTTATAAGTTGAAGGTTATTTTTATATTTTGGGCATGTTTTCAGGGGTGGAATTATGTAGGTATTGTTTTAATAACCATGTCCTAATTATTTATAGCTTCCTGCCTGACATAACTCACTTCAAGAAGTGCACAATGTCAGAACGTGGAATTAAGTGGGCTTGTGAATACTGTACGTATGAAAACTGGCCATCTGCAATCAAGTGTACTATGTGTCGTGCCCAGAGACCTAGTGGAACAATTATTACAGAAGATCCATTTAAAAGTGGTTCAAGTGATGTTGGTAGAGATTGGGATCCTTCCAGCACTGAAGGAGGAAGTAGTCCTTTGATCTGTCCAGACTCTAGCGCAAGACCAAGGGTTAAATCTTCATATAGCATGGAAAATGCCAATAAATGGTCATGCCACATGTGCACATATTTGAACTGGCCAAGAGCAATCAGATGCACTCAGTGCTTATCCCAGCGTAGGACCAGGAGTCCCACAGAATCTCCTCAATCCTCAGGATCTGGCTCAAGACCAGTTGCTTTTTCTGTTGATCCTTGTGAGGAATACAATGATAGAAATAAACTGAACACAAGGACCCAGCATTGGACTTGTTCTATTTGCACATATGAAAACTGGGCCAAGGCTAAAAAATGTGTTGTTTGTGATCATCCCAGACCTAATAATATTGAAGCAATCGAGTTGGCAGAGACTGAAGAGGCTTCTTCAATAATTAATGAGCAAGACAGAGCTCGATGGAGAGGAAGCTGTAGCAGTGGCAACAGCCAGAGAAGGTCGCCGCCGACCGTGAAACGGGACTCGGAGGTGAAAGTGGACTTCCAGAGGATTGAGCTGGCTGGTGCTGTCGGCAGCCAGGAGGGACTCGAAGTGGACTTCAAAAAGCTAAAGCAAATTAAAAACAGGATGAAAAAGACTGACTGGCTGTTCCTCAATGCTTGTGTGGGTAAGTTTCTGCGTTTTTTGAATGGGTTGGGAAAAGATATAAGGAAGGTCAACATTATTTAGCATTTAGTTCATTCAGCATGATAGCTACACTCACAGTATGCATGCATAAGAACCTCTGAATTTGTGATCTTGTCGTAACAGTGTCCTTTATTGCCTCCCATTTCATTGTGCATGTGTCTTTCCATCTTTAGAGTGAATAAATGTCAAGTTATAGCAGAGTTTTTTACACATCTGTAGTAAAATATATACCTGCAGTTTAAAACTGCTACTCTGCTTATTGTAATAAGATGTGACTGAGGAGCGCCAGCTGCAGCTTTGGAGTGTCTGTAAACAGTGTGAGCGTCTTGTGATGGTAGAAGCTTCAGTCAGATGTTAAAAATATCACAAAAATGTGTGACTCCAAGAAGTTGAACAGACATAATACTGACCTTGAAAATGCTGATGTTAATTTTTTGTGATGTCTTATAGTGAATATTTGCAAACTTGGTGAAATTGATTGCATGTGGCCAGCTGACTCCGTAGTTGAAATTATGATTTGTGTGTTTTGTGTTTTAGTACTTTCCTAAGGAAATGCTGGATATTAGTCTCAGTTACTGACTCAGAGCTGTTAAGGGACAGAGACATGTTGTGAGAGTAGGATTTTCTCCAGTTACTTATCTTGTGAGTTAATTATTTATGATGTAATTCACAAAAGCAGTTATTTCACTCCTCTGTATGCCCCCCACCGCTTTTGAGTAGATTAGCTATTTGAATTATATAAATTTAAATTATTTGGATTGGGTGCTTACTTTGACATTCAGTTTTGTAAAGAAAATTCTGAGTGACTATTAAAGTTAAATCTTGTGTGGAATAATAGCTATGCCTTAAACATGGCTTAGGGATGTGTCTGTGGGGGGTGTGTGTGGTGTGTGTGTGTATTTCCCAGTACCAGTTAATTTTGTTTATCCTCCTGAATATGGAATACGTAACTTATGAACCTGCAAGTCCAAAGAGTAGATTTCAAGAAATCTGTTTTTTTGTTTTAGCTTTGTCCTGGCTCCCCAAGAACGTCCCAGCAGATGAGCCCTTCTGAACACCAGACACAGCCATCACTTAGTAACTGTTAGCTCCAGTTTTCTCCTGTCCTGAGCACGAGGAATGAAAGCACACTGAGCTGTCTTCAGCCATCTGTGCTGTCCCATTACAGCCCATTCTTTTTCTCTCCCCAAATTGAGGTACCACCTATGGTGTGAATGTTTTTTCTTTTTTTTTTTGAAACCCAGAGCTATAGAAGGGTTTTATTTATTATTGAATATTTAAAAATTGAGGTCAAATTCACATAACATAAAACTCATCATTTTGAAAGTGAACAATTTGGTGGTATTTAGCACATCCACAGTGTTGTGAACCCATACCATCACCTACATCTAGTCCTGAAACATTTTCATCATCCTGGAAGAAACCCATTACTCATTTAAGCAGTTGTTCCACACCTCCAAGTCCCTGAGAATCAGCAGTCTGCTTTCTGTTTCAGTGACTATTATTGTGAGTATTCCATACAAATGGAATCTTACGTGATCTTTTGTATCTGTGTATGATTGTCCTTTAATTACCCATCTGCCTTTTGGAACACTGTTAAGATTATTTTTGCAGGCAATAGTGTAATATGTTGGAGAAGGCAATGGCAGCCCACTCCAGTGCTCTTGCCTGGAGAATCCCAAGGACGGGGGAGCCTGGTAGGCTGCCGTCTATGGGATTGCACAGAGTCAGACACGACTGAAGCGACTTAGCAGCAGCAGCAGCAGTGTAATATGTTAATATTAACTGTAAGGTGGTGTTATAGTACCTGTACATTTATAGAAGGTAAGAAACTAGATTGCAGTGATTTTTTTTTAACTTCTTTGAGGTCACTGTTTCTTCAAGTTAGTGGATCTAATGATAAGAACTGCTTTGAAATATTTTTTCCCCTTGACATGCATAAGTTAGACCAGTTAGTCAGTATATCTCTGTCTTTATGGCTGTTATTTCTTGCATTTCTGACTACTGCGTCTTCTTGATGTTTGTCTTTCTTTCCATATATTGAGTTTTTTTGGATAACCATCTTTTTGCTTCTTTGAATTCTTAGCAATTCTTAGAAAACTGAGCAAAGCCAAGTCCCCATTCCTACATACTACAGAGTTTCTGGGTTCTTAGGGCTAGGAATTGATTGGTACTTGGTACTGTGGATTCTCTTTCCTACCAGCAAGTATATTTGAGTTTTCATTGTATAATATGGTTCTAAACAGTTGTATGAAAGATTTTGGTCCTGTCTTTGTTGGATAGTCATATCCTGATTTGTAAATATCATTGAAATATGTTTAAAAAAAAAAACTTTTAGTTGTTTACATTGTGTTGGGTTAGCAGAAGCCCACATGTATTGAAAATTAATCTTCTCCCTTTCTGTCTGCCTTCTGCTTTCCAGATTTCATTAGATATGGTAGATTATGGCTTACTGATGTAGACATTTAATAAAGCCATCTTAGTACTCGCTTTGGCAGCATATATACTAAAAATAAGTCATCTCCAAAGTATGTACACTAAGTATAAAGTGTATACTATGCATAAAATTTATACTAAGTATAAAATGTGAGGCTTTCCATTTTAAATTGAAATAAAAAATCTCAACCTCAGGCCAGCATTTTAAAATGGGAATGAAGATTCAGTATTGAGAAGGCTAAAGCTGAGTTTCCACAGTATTAAGAAAGTATCTTTTATGTGACTATTGGGTATAAGTTTCACCTCAGTCATATTATCTTGTGTGGTGAGGGGACGTGGGGGACAGCAGTGCCAAAGCCAGAAGAAAAGAAATCTGGGAGTGGGTGCTGAAATGGTAGAGGCAGAGATGTGGTTTAAATGTGCGCTTGTCTCTGGAATGTCTGCAGTTTAGTGCCAGGTTATTTTCTGGCAGCTCTGTCAGTTCTAATCATGGTCTGCCTTTCCCACTGGATAGATGATGATGTCCCTAGAATTAAGGCAGCACCACCTAACACATTATTTTAGTGTTGCTCTTCTACCGAATCAACTGCCCTTCAGAAGAACAACAAGGGACCCCCAAGTTGATCCCTTGAAAAGACACAGGGTCATATAAGAACCTCAGGTTGAATCTGTACAATAACTTCTTGTATGCCTGAACCTTGGACTCTTATCCAGCTGCTGCGTCTGCAGCATTTTCCCTTGAATATGTAATATTTCAAACTCAGTGAGGCTAAAACTGAGCCAGGATCTCAAATCTGTTCTGTCACTCTCCCATGTTGGTTGATGACTTTGGACCCAGCAAGTTGATTATATTTGCTGTGTCCAAAGTTTTGGTCGTCCTCGGTTTTCTCCTTTTTCTCTTATACTTCGTTCTCACTGGCTCTGTCTTCAAAATATATCCAGAATCTGGCCACCTGTCATTACCCTGGTCCAAGCCGTGATCCTCTTTGTTTGTATCCTTTACAAATTGTTCTCTGAAGAGGCGTTACTCCACTCAGAACCCTCCAGTGATTCCCTGTGAGCCCAGAGTAAAATCCAGTTTCATAGGCCTCTCTTCTCTCTCATCCCACACCTACTTCCCCCATTTTTAGACACATTTTCTTTCTCCCTCCCTCTCTCACTCCAGCAACTCTTGCAACCTTTCTTATCTGCAAATAAACCTCAACCCTTTGCAGCATCTGTTTCCTCTTCCTGGATTACTGTCTCTAGATTGCAGGATTAGTGAATGTGCCTCCTGCAGGTATTTTCTCACATGTCGTCTTCTCCCTGACTGCTGCGTCTGAAATTTCAGTCCTGTTATATATCCTTTTCCCCCAACTTTCATTTTCTTCACAACACTTGTTAACCTCTAGTATACTTATTAGAAATCACCTCTTTTGTCTCTTTCTTAAAACTTAAAACTTTTTTAGCAAATTTATTTTTAATTGGAGGATAATTGCTTTACAATCTTCTGTTGGTCTCTACTGTACAACAGTGTGAATCAGCTATAAGTATACAAGAACTTAAGCTTTATGACAACCAGGGATTTTGTCTGTTTTGTTCCCAGCTGTTTCCCAGTACCTTAAACAGTGCCTGATACATAGCAGACATTGACATTTTTGTTAATCAGTGAATAAACTTTCGTGGAAACTGGGATCTGGACAAGTAGACCTTTCAGAGACAAACCTTTTTGCTTCTCTCCTAAATTTCTCCATTCTTTTCTTTCTCCCCACCTTTTTGTACTTTTCACCTTTTCACCTACTCTTGACCAACTTGGTTTCTTGTCAGGTTAAGACAGAGCAAGTAAGTTCCATGAATCTTATTTGAAGATGTCTCAGTTTATCACTGGGTGGTCTATGGATATGGAAAGTCTGAAGTCAGATTTCTTTACATTTAATTTCTCCATCTTCCTGATGAATATTTGATAGCTTGATGAATATATAAGGGAAAAATTATTGTATGTGTTTTCTATACCTTGAGTCCTAAATCAAAGTTTTTTTCTTGAAAAGTTTTTATTCAGTTGCCATTGTACATGTTGCTTCCTGTTTTGCATTTTGCCTTAAGCAGCTGCATATTTCTTACATTTAACTTGTCTAGTGACCCTGCTAATGAAGATGGAAAGGATTTGATATTGGAGGACAGTGAGAAGGAGTGCTGTTGAAGGCGTGGGAGGAAGAGAATTGTGCTTGGCAATGGCATTAAAGAGAATATAAGCATTAGTAACATCTCTGTTGCCCCAGGCTTTGGTGTGACCTGCAGTATGTACTGGTGTGCCCCTGTTGAGAGTCAGACTTATGAGCTAACCCAGAATCTCATTATCATGCAGTATGTTGAAATGGAGTCACAAGGATTGTAATCTTATTACTGAGCAAAATTCTGATGTGTCCATAGGAGATATATTAGATTTAATTTTTTCTTACATAGTGTAAACATTTTGTTGTATTTGATGGAATGTTTTTCCCATTCTCATAACTTCTGTTGAAAAGTAATATTCGTGGCAGTTACATTCTGTATTTATGCCGATTA